ATTGAGCTTATGCGGCTTTTAAACAGGATCCAGGTAGGTGACCAGTCAGAAACCCGCCACTCCCTGGTAGGTACCACCGCCGCTGTTTGTTCGTGACCGCTTATTCGTTACGGTATGCCATAACTTATTCACAATTGACCTTCTTCGGTGAACGTATCCACAACTCGGGGACGCGTCTGGTAGCATTCAGCTCTCCTCAACCCGAGGGTATTCAATACGACCCCTGGTTCGATCACATCCTCACTAATTTCGAGATGAAAGAACCAAAGTTCAACTCCGTGTTTGACCTTTAAATTGCACATCTATCTAACGAGGGAATGAATTCGGATCCGAACATGAGCTGGATGATCTTAAAACTATTCATTGGAAATTTTCGATGAAATTCCTCAATCAGAAAGGTAGCCCAGCAACAAAACGGAACACACACAGACCACACAAGCAGTGGGTGCTGAGTGTTTCACCACCACTGCCTTCCCTCGCACGTTCAAGAATGAATGACTAACTCAGATAGTTCAGAAATGATAGAGTTGTGCCATGTGAGCGTGATTCACCTGTATCACAGCTCCCTAAATTAAGCTTTCTCCGAAACACGACATAAGTCCTGCCCGAGTGCACATGATAATCATGCAATGTGGACCTGTTAACTGCACACACACCGAACACCCCGGGAAGCGAGGTATTGTTCACACGCACAGAGAGAGAGAGAGTGAGTCAAATCTTGTCTTGAAACCATTGGGTATTTAGCTGAGTCTATGGTCGTGTGTTTCTTAAGGACGGTCTATACAACCTCCCCACCTCCCGTGCACCCTGATTCGTGGTGGTTTGCTATGTTTGACCCTCACGCCGACTTTGTCTGGCGAACGGTGCGGGATGACGAAACAAACTTTGTCGGTTGTGTATACGCTTCGTAAATCGGTTAAGGACATTTGAGGTTTAATCAGCAGCTGCCCGGTGATCGAGTGGGTAGTATGCTTGCGTTCTGCCCATGAGGTCCCGGATTCCTGATCCCCAATTGAGTCGATGGATTCGCTCACTACTGCTGATGAGATCCAAACGGGTCGAAACAGCTGTCCTAGCCCCTCGGTTCACGCTTCACTTGCCAAATGCACGACAAAATCCCCGTTGACATTTGAGGGGGGTCGAACGGACCGCTACGAGCACAAAACGTTGTGAGAAATCATGCTGCTTCCGATTGGAAAACCGGGGCAATTTATAGTTTCAAATTTATTCATACTATTGAAATATCCAAGAAGGTAGGCAAAAAGAGATAAGGGGATGTTAACCACACTTGAGTTATCAACAAGGTGTGGAGTTCTATAAAACCTAGTACACTGGATGTCTCATTGTCACATGTGTTTGGTGTCGCAATACTGTGTGTCCATTAGTCCGAAATGATCGTGACAATTCAATGGGATGGGGTGAGGGGGAATGTACGCCCCGAATGGCTTGTGCACGTGTAGAGGGACACACACTGGCAGAGGGACAGGGGTGGATTGAGAAGAGGTACAAACAAACGAACGTTACACGTTTCAAATCACTGTGAAAAAAAACGATAAAGGCAAAGGAGGAAATTGAGACCGAAACAGAGAGAAAAAAAACTGCCGACGGCGAAATGACACGAAATGATGCAACGATGGATGGACAGACAGACAGAGAGTGATGTTAGTTAGACTGAGAAAAGCGGCGCGAAGGCAAAGGAGGAAATTGAGACCGAAACAGAGAGAAAAAAAACTGCCGACGGCGAAATGACACGAAATGATGCAACGATGGATGGACAGACAGACAGAGAGTGATGTTAGTTAGACTGAGAAAAGCGGCGCGAAATGTGGCTAGGACGAATCGATTCACTATTACGAGAATAGGTGAACAAAATTCGAGGGCGGGAGGGAGGGGTTGGTAATCCAGTGCAAAACGACGAGAGCACACGGACAGGTAGACAGCGCAATTCGATCAGAAATCAGAGAAGTCAG